ATAGATAGTAGAGTATTATATATATACTATAGATATATAATATATAATCTGTATATATATATATATATATATATATATATATCGATATATACTATATAATATATATGTGTGTATATATATTATATATATATATATATATATAGATATAGTGTGTATATATATAAATTTTTTATATATAGATTATAATAGATTTATAGGGTGTTATATATTATATATATATATATATTATCTAGATGTGTGTATATATATATAGATAGATATATATATATATATATATATATGTGGTAGATATATATTATATATATATATATATATATAGATATATATATATATATATTTTGTGTGTGTATAGATATATAGTATAATATATATAATGTTGTGGTGGATATATATATTATATATATATATATGTGTATATATATATGATATATAATATACTATATATATATTAATATAAATCAACTATATATATATAGGTGTGTGGAATTATATATATATATATAGGGTGTGTATAGTATATAGGTATATTGTGTGTGTGTATTATATATATATGTGTGTGTGTATATATATATATATATATATATTATATATGGTGGATATATTATAATATGAATATATATCTATATTACATTAGTATGTGTGTGGGTATATATATATCTAGATACTATTATCTATATATATATATATAATGTGCTGGTATATATCTATAGAATATATATAGATTATTATATATAAATATGTGTTGTATTATTATATATATATATATATATATATAATATGTGTGTATATAGTATATATATATATATATATAGATAATAGGTGTGTATATATATATATGGATATATATATATATTATATGTGTGAATATATATATATATATTAGATATATGTGTGTGAATATATATATATCTATATATCTGTGTGCGTAATAGAATATATATATATGGTGTTATAATATATCTACTATGCGTATATATATATATAATATATAATATGGTTATATATACTATATATATATATGGGTAGATATATATATATATATATTATAATATATATGTGTATATATATATATATATATATAATGATGTACTATATATATATAATATATCTAGTGTATATAATATACTATATATATATATATATAATATGGGTATTTATATATATCACTATCTATATATGCGTGTAATATAATATATATATTTTATATATATACTATATATATCTATATAATAACACTATATATGTGTGTAGCTATATAATTACTCGCATATATAATATAATATATCTAATATATAATTATATATATATAGGTGTGTGTAATATATATATATATATATATATATATATATATATATTATATATATATATGTGGTATATATATGATATATATATATATATATATATATATAATATATATGTGGGTAATATACATATATATATATATATTATATAATATATATAATTATATATGGTCGTAGTATAACATATAGAATAAATATCATATTATATTTGCTATATAATATGTCATATATAATAGTATAATATCATATAACTAAATTAATAGATATGACATATAATACTATATCCTATATATATGTGTATATATATTATATATATGGGTTTCTATAATAGATATACTAATAATTATAGATATAAGATGTGTATGATATAGCATATATATATATATTGTAACTATAGATATATATAGATATTATAAGAGATGTATATATAGATATATATATATATATATAATATATATATATTATATATATATATATATATGTGTGCGTAATAGATATATAGTTATATATATAGTATATAGATATTATATATATATCTCGTATATAATATATATATATTATATAGATTTGTGCTAGATATTATATATATAGATATATAATGAGTGTCTCTAATATATATATATATATATATATATATGTATAATATATTTATATATATTTAATATGTGTATATATAGATATATATATATGATTATATATATATATAGATATATGTGTATATATCTAATAGATATATATGTGATTATATATATAGATAATATAGATGTATATATAGATATATATATTGATATATGATTTATTATATATTATATATCTATAGTAGATAGGTATATATAGATAGATTGATATGATAATATATGTATGATATAGATATAATATATATATATATCTAATATGTGTATCTATATAATAGATAGATATGTAGATATGATATTAGATATATATATATATATGGTGCATAAATATATATTATATAATATATGATATGACTATCATATATATATAGATAGATATGCTAATATAGTATATATAGATATATATATATGTATATAGTAATATATATATATATATAGATGTATATAGTATATATATATATATATAATATGGATATAGAGTAGATAGGATATATATATAGGTATATATATATTATATATATATATATAGCATATAATGTATTTATATATAGATATATATAATATGATATATAGTATATATGTAGATATATATATATATATTATAGTATATATATGTATATATATATAGATATATCTATATATAATGTATTCTATAAATATATATTATATATATATATATATATATATGTATATATATATATATATGTATAATATATATGTATATATATATATATGATATGTATATATATATGTCTATAATATATAATATGTATATATTATGTATATATAGATATATATAGATGTATATATATGTATATATATAATATATGTAGATATATGTAAGATATATATATATATATAATATATATATATATATATATGATACTATATAGATATATAATGTATATATATATATATGTATATATATTGTATATATATATATAGAGATATATTAGATATGTCTAATATATAGATATGTAATCAGACATATATGTTATATATGGTTATATACACTATAAACCATATCTAGTATATATAAGCCATATAGATAGATAGTATATATGTATACTATATGATATATATATATAGATATATATATGGATATAAGAGATTATGATATTATATATATCTATATGGAGATAAGCGTACATCATATATTATATAGTATAGATATATATATATATTTATAGATATATATATTATATATATGTAGGATATATATATAGAGAGAGGGAGAATAGAGATAGATGATAGATATAGGGATACTATGTAGAATATAGAGATGTATAGATAGAGAGATAGAGAGAGGAGATATAGAAGAGGTAGAGAGATATAGAGAGATAATATATATAGAAGGAAGATTAAGATATAGATATAGATATCAATATTATGGAGAGATGATATCGTATTATAGTATATAATATATAGAGAGACTTACAGGAAGAGATATACATCCTCCCCAGGATATCCAACCTCTGTATATATGTATATGGGCCCTAACCAAACAAAGAATGATATACTCCCCACACAAACAGCCCACCCACCCTCTAATTATGACATACCAGAAGAGATGGATATACCCAAACATGAGCTGAGGATAGAGAAGAAACAACGGTGTCCTAGCTCACGTCGTCACCCCCACTCCCACACCCCCCTTCCAGCGCATAGCCCCCCACACTCACCAACCTTATAATATATATACACAACACCACATATATATATAGATACACAACCGATATAGACATATATATACACACACACACATATAGATATATAACGCACACCCACCCCACCGACTGAATAGATATAATATCACACCCCAAATATCAGATAGATTATAGTATATACACAACATATATCTAGTAAATAGTAATATATATACACTACATACATATATAGATCGATATATATATAACACACACAAGAATAGATATATAGAGATAGTATATATATATTACACACACCATAATATATATAAGAAGATAGATATCCACACACAAACATATGATATAAGATGAGAGACACCCCACCCCCCCATAATACAACTACCCGCACTAGATATACACACTTATAGATATAAAAGAAGATATAGCACACACAACGACATATGTAGATCACATAATACCACACCAACCATACCTCACACACTAGATATATATATATAGACACACACAGAGAAGATAAGGAAATATATATACACACACATATATATCTAGATATATAGATATATACACACACAGATATAGATGAGATATATATTCACCCCAACCGAGAGCATAATATACACACACAAGATATTAGATATATAGTATCCCACACACTATGATTTCGAGACGTATAGAACACACATCACACTACCCCCCACCCCCATAGTCCTGCACTACACACACACACACCCCAGGATAGATAGACGAGAGATATACACACACAACATAATATATGATATAGAGAGATAATATATATAATATATAGATATGAGATAGTAGATGTATATATATATATACACATAGACACACACATATATGATATGAGAGAGAGATATAATAGTAAACTCAATAGAGATATATAATAGAGAGAGATACACACATTATATATATATATATATATTATAATATATAGATATACATATACAGATATATGAGTACTATATATATATATAGATATATATATATATATATATATATATACATATATATATCTTTATAAATATATAGAATATTGTAGATATTCCATCATAGAATATGAAATATATGTATATATATATATATATATACATACTATATATAATGTATATATATGTATATATATATATATATATATATATATATATATATATATATATATATGTATATATATATATATATATATATATATATATATATATATATATGTATATATATGTATATGTATATATGTATATATATGTATATATATGTATATATATGTATATGTATATATATGTATATGTATATATATATATATGTATATATATATGTGTGTATATGTATGTGTATATATGTATATGTGTGTATAATATTTTTTTCTTTCTTTTTTTTCTTTTCAGGACGCCAGTGGCCAGTTATATTTGGTGTTGGATCTGGCTTTGGAATGGGTTATGCCAATTGCCAACATGAATTTAACCAACCATTCCTGGTCAAAGCTGATAAAGTAATTGTAAGTATCAATAGTTGTTAATATATATCATACTTTTTTTTTCTTTCTTTTCTTTTCTTTCTGCCATATCCACTGTAATTTTAATTCATTAAGTATGTTTATGCAGAGATGGCTCCACAAGGAGTCAGTCATTAGGTATACCTATCTCACTTTTGGGAAACTTATTTACCATTTCATCATATTGGTATTATAATAACAATATAAATATTGCAATGCCAATAATGATGATAATGACAGTATTGATATTGATAGTATTAATAAGAAAAACATTTTCCCACAAATTCAGTGTATGGGGAAAGCATACACTAAGTGGCTGTGTATATCTGGAGTAATCTGAATGTAGCAAAATTCACTCAAAAAAGACTACAATTGACAATACATAACCTGGGGCAAGTGGTTAAATGCCTAGAGAGAATTTGACAGATCTCTCCTAAGAAATTTTGGCAGATGTTGAATTTGGCTCATAGTATGCAAATTATAAATGAGTAAATACCAGGTAACAGAATGAAAATAGATTTATATTGATTTATACTTGCATGTTTCAGTGTAGCATGTATTACATCTACACACTTTTTGGTATTCCAGGAAGAAAAATCATAAAGTATTACTAATCCTGATTTGCATTTTTCAGGTGAAACCAAAAGCACCCACCACCCCAACTGAGGCCCAGTGATGCTTTGCTTGATATATGTACATTCAATCTAGATCCCTATTACTGTATATAGAGTATTTACACTCTAGTAAATCGGAGCAATTATCATTTCCTTACATAATCGCAGCATTATATAACTAAGGATTCTTAGGGTTATTGAACAATGGCTTGTAACTTATGCATTATGTAAAACCTTTATCTTTTGTAAATAACATCAGTTGAAAAAAAAAAGTTTTTTATTTCCCTCTTTTTATGATTTTGCTAATACTTAGTTGGATTTGTTTAATGGCAAATAAACATTTTTGCTGTATTTTTTTTTTTTTTTCCTTCAGTAATTTTACACATATATATTCTCTTGAATAATCATGTATTAATTATTTTTGATCTTGTAATTTTGTATTTACTTTTAATCAGTTCACCAAGGAGGAAATAGAGATACTATTCAAATGCATTTCGTTATTTGCACATTCTAAATTTTCTGTTCTCCAGAAAATGTGAGAGTGAGTATGATAATGAAGAGAGGGAGTGAGAAAGTGGGTGTGGCTTTATGGATGGGGTTTGGGTGATGGATATAGGGTGCACCCAAAAGCCTTCAAAGATTATTTTTTATATATATAAAATTGAATCTGAATCTCCTTGGTATGGTAGGAGTATCACCTGCAATGCCTACTGGATTTTCATCCTATCTAAGAGCGGGTGCATCGGGCTGAGTATTTTGATCAGTTGTATCAGGTTGATCCACCAACAAGTAACTTGGAGATTCCTTTGCCAGACCCACCCATCAGTGAGGATCCACCCTTCTTGACCTCAGTTCATGACCTCGGGCTGTCAAACCAGGAAGTCAGTGGACAGATTGGCCTGGCAGCAGGGGTAATGAAATATCTCGACAACAGTGTTTGGAGATGCTGGTACCTGTGCAGAAGGACCAAGCTACGTGTCTTCAAGGCCCTGCTACTGCCAGTTTTACTAAATGGTATCTTGTGCTTTGGAATCTTGTCTTGATGCCTTTTTGTAAAAGATCTTTGTGCCAGATCATGGGGTACAGTTGGCGGGACCATGTGTCCAACCAACAGTTGCACTGTAAGACCGGTAGGACCTGTTACTTGCACAATCCGCAGTTGTCAACTCAGGCTATACAAGTACTTAGCTCGATTCCTGCAGGATGATCAGGTTGTCTGGTCATTGAGACAACCCTGGGTGGAGGAAGCCTGTGGAACGACCAAGGAATTTGTACCTTGGGCAAATCAAACAAACCTGTTGTGAAGAGTTAGAGATGAGCCGGGCCCCTGCCTGGTGGTTCGCCATGAGGGACCCACGTAGGTGGAAGCAAAGGGTGGATGTGGCTATGCGACCCTGCCAGCGTTAGCTCCCCATTGATGATGATGATGATGACAAGCCTCATGCCCTTGAGGGAGGATTTGACATGTGCAATGCAACGAAAATAAAACCACAAAGGGAAGAATAAGAAAACAAACAAGCAAAAGGCCTTTTTTAATCTTGCTTCAGGGCATGAGGCAAAAAAGTAAAAAGGCATTAATTTGTATGTCCTCATTCCATACTGTTTTATTTGCATTTTCTTCATCATGAATCCTACAAATGCAATTCAGTGATGAGTCATTATGCATTATTTTAATATGTGATGTGACCCACTTGTAGGTTGTGATTAGGAATTAATATATATATTTTTTTTTATTAATATGTGCTTAGTCTTATGCAGCCTAGATGTTGCTTTATACTTTATACTTTATACTCACTTTATTTGAAAATAAATACAATTTATTATAAAGACAGCCATTCTTTCTTTTTTAAAAATCCCCAAAAGTATACAAATATATGATATATGTAGCTATTATCCTTTAAAACCCCAATATCATAGATTCCACGATAAAATGAATACACTGCCAACATTCTGAAAGCACAACATCATCCCAGGAAAAGTCTGCTCATGCTACTGATGCCTTTCTTACATGGTCACCAATCTTTTACACATCAATCCAGTGAACTTCATTTGTTCATTTTTCTTTATTCGAAAATATGGAACCTTGCAAATAGCCTAAACATTGAGATTATTCACCAAGACCATCTGAACAGAACCAACAATGGTATGATCACCAATGGATCTTATCCCAAAGACCTTATTCTTTATATTTAATGGTGATACAGAACCCTGGTGTACACATGTTCATGCACCCAGTAGACCACAAAACGCCCAACAGCCACGTACTTCGTTTTAGTATGCTATTTTTTCGCATTGACGGGAATTTAGCATATTCATCTTTTTTTAAGAATTTAGTTGTTATTCTTGATATATAAACTATTAAACTGTTGTACTATTACTTGATGCATTTCTACAAAATTCACAATGACAATCGTTATTCACGAGGACACATATTAAATAACAATTATGCAGAATTTGAATATATAGTATCATCTCTTCATTGTGTTATAGTTCTCAAACTAATTTGCAACGCATGGTTATAATAGCTTTTATACATGCACTTTAGGATAAGATTGTAAATGATATCTTAGGATCCGTGATCAAGCCATCAACTCGCCTAACAATCACTTTGGTCAAGTCCAATTCATTTTGCACGTTAGAATCCGTTAACATTTTGGAATCAGATTGAAATCTACTTTGAGACCTGAAAACAGTACCCATTGGGCACTGGGTACAATATGCTTTGTGTCCTTTCCTTAGTGTGTATAGTGTGCGCATCCTTTAATGGATAATTGATTTATATAATAGTGGAATTTTCTGTACTATTGTACGTGGCCTTTATGTCACTAATTAACTGCGGAATATAAAATTGGCAAATAGCCAGTGATTCGGGTTTTTGACGCAAATTGGCTGGTTTGGTACTTCAGTATTAGGCATCTGTGATAGCAAATACTTGGATTTAATTTTAAAATATGAAAGTGAAGAGTTTCCATCACTTTGAATACCTGTCTAAGAGTGACACCAAACAAATAATATGGCCACTATCTGCGAAAGATGAGCGTCCGGCACGGGGTTTGAAACAATGCGGTGACGTCCGCGACTCGGTTCACCACAGCCATCGCATGTCATGTCATCTGCAACCAAAGGATTTTAGTTCACACATACACACACACACACACACACACACACACACACACACACACACACACACACACCATATATATATATATATATATATATATATATATATACACATATATATGCATATATTTGTACATACATATATACATACACATATATGTATGAATGATAAAACACTCTGCCGTGTGGTAGAAAAACCCACAATGCAGGTGTATATACATATACACACGCATGTGTGTATATACATATACACACGCATGTGCGTATATACATATACACACGCATGTGTGTATATATATGTATATATATATATATATATATATATATATATATATATATATATAAATATATATATATATATATATATATATATATATATATATATATATATATATATATATATACATATGTGTATATAAACATTCACATGTATATGTAAATGTATATACACATGTATGGGTGTGTGTATGTATACACATGTATATGTATATATATCTTCTTCAAGTACCATAGCATACCATGTCGTAGGCGTTCATGAATTGTCTTTCAGTCTCTGTCCAATTTTTTTTCCATGACTCTGTCCCTCGCAATATCTCCGAGTTCTTTATTCGTCCTCACTTTCAGCCTTTCCTTTATTCAGTCAAGCATCTTCATCCTTTGCCTTCCTCTTGCCCTATTTCCATTCATTTCTGTCTCGATGATATGTTTTTCAATTACATCTTCCTCTCAGAATATGTCCAACACATCTCCATTGTCTTTCTCCTGTTGGGTTCAACAGCTGCCTTTCTGTTTTTACTTTCTGAAAAACCTCTTCATTGGTCATCTTTTCCCACGAGATCTTCAACGTTCTTCTATATAACCACCTTTCCACAGCTTCTAATTTCTCTTCCATCTCTCTGCTTATGGTCCAGGACTCGCACCCACACGTTAGCACTGGCCAGATGTAGCATTTCAATAATCTTTTCTTAACTTGCATTCCGATTCTTTCTGAACGGAACAGATTCTTTATATCTTTGAATGTTTGTTTTGCTAGTCCAATCCTTTACTGTATGTATGATCGTCCATCTGATGAAATCCAACTTCCAAGATATTTAAAACTGTCTTTCTGTTCTATGCTGTTTCCATTCACTCTCAAGTGACATGCTAGTACCTGTTTCTT